TAAAGTTGTGGTGTGCTTCTGGTCCTACTGCCTGCTGTTAGAGAGAGAGAGAGTGAGTGGGGCGTAAATGTTGTATTTGTTCCATCTGCAAGTGTTATAATAAGTTATTCAGAGCTCTTAGCACAGGACCAACTAGAGCGTGCCTCCCTCTCAGTTCCAGCACGTTTTCCTGCCCATCAGATGGATGCTCCTCTGTTGGAGTCTTTGGAAGGTTCTGGTGTCTTTTGTTTTAATTGGCGGGCTAGGGCTGACTCCTATGGCGTGATTTTCATTAGAGAGAGACTGGAGAGAGGGAGTGTTGGAACAGCCCTCCAAACCCAACCATGAATATTAAACATAATACAATTACAGCCTTTGGACCAATTATTTTTCTTTTCAGCGGGTAAAGTTGATGAAATACTCACTAGTCAGGATTCACAACATCGAGCATTGGCTTCTCTCTGTCCCTGGAATCATTGTCTTGGCATAATTTTGTGCCCGTTTGCTGTGCTACCTGTTTCCCAGTGCCTCGCACTGAGTGCTGAGGTCACAGGGCTCTGCCAGGGCGCACAGTGGTGGGGTTGGTGTTCCGAGCTTCCTTGATGTGCATCTGAATGGCTCCTGCAGACCTCGCACACCAGGTGTTGCTGTCGCTGTCTGTTGACAAAAACCCGAGTGCCGCCTCTCTAAGGGGGAGGTCATAGAAACACTTTTCCTTTTTTCCTGTAGGGAGAGACTCAAGTCTGTTTTGGCTCATTTTTGTTGTCCTTAGTGATATGAAATACGCTAATGCTGTTTCTTTTGGTGTATTTGTTTATTTTGTTTGGAGCCATCCATGCTGGTGTCTAAATACAATAGGAAAACAGATGGCAAACTTTGAACTTCTGGACCAAATTTGTGTTTTCCTTTGTCTTCTTAACAGCCAAACTGTAAATTACGGAGTATAAATATTCAACAGAGGAGATCTTTATGAAAATCACCATAGCAAAATAAGCCCTTGTTAACCAAATAGCCATCAAAAAGTACTTGGGCTAAAAATTGTTTTTCTACCATCCCTTTTAAGTTCCCATTAGGAAGCAGTGCAGCTCGAGCCTACAGGCAGAGTACCTTTTTACAGCATTTTTACCTCTCGTCACTTCTCTCTCCAGACCTCCTCAGTTCTCTTACCCACCGATGCAGGAAGATGGTGTCTCTGCATGTCAACAGAGGGAGACCTGTATTTTCAAAGACTGTCTCCTGTCCTCACTGCTTCTGTCTAGTCACAGGGTCCCTCGCCAGGAAGTGGGGGAGCATGTAGCATGCCGTAGTAACAGAGCTCTTCCCTGTCTGCATCACCTTGTGCTCACAGGTCCTAGCGGGGCTGGACTAGAGGATCTCTCCTCTGTGTTCTAGACGTGAATGAGTTCTTTCTCCTGGAACTGCATGGCAGTATCTGGAATAAACGGTAAAAGCGCTTTTATTCCCCTCCTCCGTTGCCAGGGTAACTAACTTCTCCAGGGTAACTGCCATTATCAACTCCACCATGGTCTTAGGGTTTCTTCAATTTACTTGAACGGTAACCTGCACACAGTTGAATTCAAAAGCACAAAAGGAAAGGTAGCTCTTCTGGTCAGCCTTGTTGGCTGGGACTGCTGCACAGTTGCCCCCCAAGCCTGCCCAGGCTCTGGGTAGACATGTATCCCCCTGCCTGCCGGCTCGGGCTGGAGCCTTGTCTCAGTGATGCTTCCGTCAGGGTAGAGGTCTGCCTCATCCTGTCACGGCTGTGCAGGATGGCACGTCTGGGTGGATGGAAGTGCTTTAACTAGCACTTAGTGGATGGAGCTAGTTAGTTGTGCCATTACATCCTGACAGCTTGAAAGTTGCTAATTTTTCCTGTCAGCCTAATTATCATTCTGTAAAGGTAATCTCTTTCCCTTCAGATTGCTTTTAAGACCTCTATTAAAATGTCTGACATTTTCCCTCTTGATTGTGATACTCTGAAATATATATTTTTGTTCTGATTAGTGCTCATTGAGTGTTAGGTATGCATGTCTTACTGATTCTGGAAAAATATCAGCCATTTACTATTTGACTATTACCTCTTTGCCATACATTGTTTTTGTCGTAAAACTTCTTTTGGATAGATACTGAACCAGTCTACTTAGAATGGTACACAGACATCGTTTTTTAGGCTTAATAATTCACAAGTTCTTCAACCTGCTTCTAGCCTACATAATTAATTCGAGACTGTTTTCATTTATAGAAGTTGTATATGGCTTGTTTATAAAGCAAGAACGTCAGTGTTGCTTCATCCCTCTTTTGGGGGGCCTCAGTCTTAGAACCTTGCCCACTGTGTTGCAGTAAAATGTGCATGCACTGGCCCTGAGACAGGCCCCACCCACACAGCTCACCAGCTTGGTTTCCAGGTTGGGCCCTGCAGGTCGCTTCAGAGGATGCTGTCCCACACTAAGTGATTCTGAATAGCAGGGCCAACTGTCGGAGGCAACTGTTGTCTTTGACAAAAGCCCCATCTTTTACTATTGAAAACAGTGCTGGGCCATTGCGTGTGAGCACAGGGGGCCTAGTCGGGAAGTGCAGTTTTCCGCTGGGCTTGCGGCCACATGAGCTGTGCAGAAGCACCTCCCTACCCAAGCCTTGGCACCATGTAGTGCCTCCCCGTGCAGTGCCTCCCCACGCATCTGCTGGCAGCGCATAGGTGGGGACCAAGGGGTGGATGTGCTTTACTTGTGCTTTCTCTCATTACCAGTGAGTGTTGTGCGCACATTTAAGAGCCATTAGCACTTCTCTTTCTGTGACCTGTTTTTCTTTTCTCTCACTTTAGTAGTATTTTTACAAGAAGTTAGCCAGTTCTCTGTTGCAAACTTTCCCCTGTTTATTGTTTGCCTTTGGTTTTACCTCCTTGAGGGGCAAATGTTTTATCAGGTGGTGGTGTGGTTTTTTTTTTTTTTGACTTTGAGTTTCACTCTGTTGAGAAAGGTCTTTCCCATTCTGAGTGTTTATGGTTTAAATTATGTTTAATGCTCTGAGCTCTCTGTGATTTATTTGGGTGTAATGCTTGTGCTCAGCTCCAAGCTGAGAAAGTTACAGAAAGTGGGATCTTGTCTTTAAAAATTGAATCAAACTAGTGGTTGTACCAAACAGGGGGCTTACTGATTTTGACTTTCTGAATTAGATTGTTAGATCCATATAATATATTTGTCTAATTGTGGCTAAATTTTAAAACAAGTGAAATAGCCTTTTTGTTAGGAGTGTTCTGCTGTGTCTCCTCAGTATCCATGGACTGCACGGCCTCACCATTAGTTGCAGGATGGGCAGAGCTGCCTGGTGGGGTGGGAACTGTGGGGCCTCTTGCTCTGGACTGTTGGCCGTGCTTACTCGGGCCCCAGCACTGAGGCGGTGTTGGCTTTTTCTCTGCTCTTCCCCAGACTGTTGGTAGATGGCTTCCGGTAGCACTGGGCCGCCCGCCTCCTCCCTGCGTGTGGAGGAGGCCTTGTGCTGGCTCTTCCCGGGACTGTCGTTCCTTGACAGCTTTCCCAGTTTGCACTTTATCTCTCGGGGGTTAGTTCTGGCAATTCTCATTTCCTACAAATTCACGCACTCAGCTAGGTTTTCAAATTTGGATATTTAAAGATTAACTCAAGAAATAAACCTGAATAGCTGAAGTACTCTTTTAAAAAATTACAGAAAGTATATCCATTTAGGTTTGTTTCTAGAGAGATTTTACCTAACCTTTAGTAAACTGTGCCCACTGTCACAAAGTCCTCACACCTAATGCTTTTTGCCCTGAAATATGCCTTTCCCGCAGAGCAGAGATTGGGCTTCCTTTGTGGCCCGAGTGACACCCCCTTGTCCCAGTGCGGGTCACCCAGCAGGCACGCTGGGTCTCACCGAGGCATCTCAGTGCTTCCCACACGTGGTTTGTGTGTTGGTGCCTCAAGTCCTTTCTGATTTTTTCTTTCAGAAAATGTCTACTAGCTCACTTTCCTGTCTTTAAAAAAAAAAGTCTTAACGGTGCCATCAAGCTTGGTGGGTGTGAGCACTCACGTGACTGAGTGTGGGGTAATCCCCTCTCACCGCATCTGCGGAGCATACTGCCACAGCGTGTGTCTGGCTCTCCTGTAGGAAGTGGGGTCTCTTCAGGGCAGCCGTTGTCTTTCCCCTTTTGCCTGTGTTAGCAGTTCTGTTCAGTCCACCTGCACTGAGAGTTGGCCACATTCTGTTTCAGCTCTTGCGGCTTAGGTCCTCAAGCAAGTAAGTTCGTGTTTCTAGTGAATAAAAGGTTTGTTTCCGTTATCTAATTGTCCTTGTGTGGAAATTTAGCAGGTATTTGTGTATAAAAAGTATTTAAGAGTACCCTAAAAGAAGTTCAGATTATCACAAGACTTTAGATAGTGGCTGCCAAATGTGCACAGCCTCTTACGTGATCCTGTTGTGCTTAGTCATCTGTAGATACCACCCCCAGGCCCCAAATTTCAACAAGTAATGAACTTACCAAGTCAAATACCCAAAAAGAATTATATTCCCAATCACTGTAAGGGTCTGGGTTGCAGGCAAATGTTCCAGGTTTACCTCTTGCGTAAAAGAATATTCTACCATCACCAAGATTATCATACTATCACCTTTTGGGCCGTCTTCACAGGCGGAGACACTCCAGTTGGAGCTCAGCTGCCCTGCACGTGGACTCATGCCCAGGGCAGGCTCTTCCAGTGGAGCAGGGAAGAGTGAGCAAGCAGACAGCCAGTATATTTGTCCTGAACCTGTCTAGTTCCAGACACTTTTAAATCATTTGAGTCAAGAGTTGTGCAGACTGTAAATTAGTTCATTTCTATTCCAACTTGACCTATGAGAGAACAAAACCTGTGTTTTATCAGCATTGTATCAGCCTATTAGCATTTGGATGTGCCCAGATGAGTCCCATGTTTCTATAGGATGAGACCAGCAGCACTGAGAAGTCATTTGCCACTTGAGGCTTTACCCCTAATGTCAGTATCCCTTCTTTGGGCTCATCTTGGGCCTTGCAGGGTGAGGATTCACGACCTACGCACCGACAAAATTGCTCTGTCGATGTCAGCCCACCAACTTGGCGTCTCTGCAGTGCAGATGGACGACTGGAAAATCGTCAGTGGAGGCGAGGAAGGCCTAGTCTGTGTGTGGGATTATCGGATGAACCAAAAGCTGTGGGAAGTGCATTCTAGGTAAGAGTATTGTTGTAGCTGTCCTCTGACCCAGGCACTGATCAGTGCCAGCCAGGTACCAGTGAGTAACCCGCACTGCGACCCTCGTGGTTAGCTGCTGTTGTCTCCAGATGAGGAAACTGAAGCTCAGAAATTGAGTTGGTCATTGGAGGGGCCGCTCTCCTTAGCTCAGAGACCATGATGTCCTCCCCAGCTGGGGGGCGGGCCCAGGCCCTCTGTCTGTCATCCCAGAGTCTTGGCGTGCGCGGCCATGATTTTTCCATTTCTTGGACTTTTCTTACACTGTTTCAAAGGACACGTAGTATTGAAAGTTAGGTAGAGGGAAGACTTCCAACCTTTATCTTTGGAGGTTAAAGAGATAACTAGGTATCACTCAGGTTGATGGCAGGTATGTTTATATTAATGGGACCTGACCATTTTCGAGCTTGCTCCTAACCTTTAAAATAGGGGCAGCCTCAGCTGGAGCTGATGAGGCCACCCCACTTCAGTGGGAAGGAGGTCAACCCCAGCCTTCCTTCAGTGCTGCTGTGAAGAGACATTTTGGTCCCAGAGGATGTACCGGTGAAGGAGAGCAAGCACAGATGCCAGGGCCTGCCATTTGCCCCTCTACCTGCACAGCATGCTAAACGAGACCTATGAGGAGGCAGCAGCAGGGTCTGCATTTCAAGTACAAGGTCAGGTACAAGAGGCTGCAGAGTGGTGAGTGGTCCAGCTCTTCTTTCCCAAGCAGACTAGCCTGGGCCCTTTTTCTCATGTCCGTGGCAGTGCACCGAGTCGCCACCAGGTGGTGCCCAACGGCAACCAAAACTCCCACCGGCGAATCCCAGAAATCGTGCTAGTTGCCTTTGAGGAAGTCCTTTGAAAGAGCTGCCTCCACCTGGCTGTAGGGCCGCTCCCACTGAGTGCAGGCCTTGGGACTGCCCCCAGCAGTTCGTTGGTTTCTGCGGCCTGGACTCCAGGAGATCTGATTTCCTCCCTGAAAAGCCTTTTCCCCTGGGTTGGGGGGGGGGGTGGTTTCACAGGTCCTCCCAGAACTGTCTTGTAAATATCCATCCAGTTCTCACTCCAGCCAGGGGCTTGTCCCTCGCCAGGTCACTTGTCTCCAGAGAAAGGCTGAGGCCTCACTTGCAGCCTCCAGTCCAGAATTCGTGGACTCGCGCAGCCCTGGCCTGCCACACTCCCCATGTCCTCTGGGGACGCCCTTCTGCCTTGTGCTTGCTGCTCCCCAGTGGGTGTCCCAAGCCCTGGACTGACCGTGCAGGGCGCAGACGCCCCACAGTCTCATTCCACAGCAGAACCCTCTGCTCTGCCGGAAGGGCTCCCTGTCACGGCCGCATTTCCGGGTGCTGCGGCGTGTCCTCTTTCTTGAGCTCTGCAGACACTGGCTGTGTTTTGCAGGAGTGTCTCTTACCTTCTTCACTGCTCAGGGGCCTCTCTGCCGGCCATTTGGGCTCAGCGCTGTCGCTGTAGTAGGCACTGGATGAAGTTCCTAAAATGGACGAGAGCGTTTGCCACATTCTCTGAATGGGCTCACTTCATCCAGGCACCGTGTCCTTGGCAGTCCTCTGGCCGTAAGACGAGGGGGCCCTTTAGGGTGACTGTAAACACACCCTTTTCCCCTGGCAGAGGGCACGCCTGGGTCAGAGCTGCCCGACTTGTCCAGGGCTGGCCAAAATGGAACTGCTGTCTCCCACGCGCCACTGGACTGTGCCAGTTCCTTGTCCTCTGGGGCAGGTGGGGGGAAGGGACAGGCAGGGGAAGGGCAGGGGGGAGATGGGAAAGGTCAGAATGATGAAGAGAAGGGTGGGGTCAGGGGAAGGGAAGTTTGGGTGAAGTCAAGGGGCAGGGAGGGTCCAGCCAGGCAGGGAAAGGTGGGGACACGGGAAAGGACGGGTCAGGGGAAGGGAGTGGGTGGATGGGGTCAGGGAATGGACGCTTGGGGAGGTCAGGGGAAGGGAAGGGTCGGGTCAGAGGAAAGTTCCTGCCGGGGAAGGAAAGGAGAGCAGGGAAGCGGCAAGGGAAAGGAAAAGGCAGGGTCGGGAGTGGAAGGGTTGGGGGCAGGGAAAGGTGGGAAGGGCAAGGAAAGGCTGCGGGAAGAGAGAAACGTGAAAGAACGGAGAGGAAGTGTCAAGGGAAAGGAAGGCTGGGGGGGGTGGCATCAAGGAAGGGGCTCAGTGCAGCGCCTGGGGAAGGGAGTCATCCAGGCAAGGGAAAGGAAGGGCCTTGGGAAGCCCAGGGTCGAGAGAAGAGACCATGGGCCGGATCCCTTTAGGAGAGGGAAGGGGAGGGAAGGGCGGTTCAAGGAAGGGAAATGAACGGTCCAGGAGAAGGGCTGGGGCAGGGGCTGGCGAGGGTTAAGGGGAAGGACGCGTGGCGGGAGGGAGCGGAGGATGGCAGGTCAGGGGATGTGAAGTTTTGTGGGGAGGGAGGTGAAGAAGGAAGCAAGGAAGTGCTGGGGGGGAGGGGGGAGTGAGGGGTAAGAAGGTTGGAGACGCGGGGAAGGGTCTGAGGAAGGAAGTGTCAGGGGTGGGGGAACTGGAGGGCTGGAGGAATGGTGGGAAGGCCTAGGAGAGGATCGGGGCAGGGTCCGAGGAAGGGCCAAGGGGAGGAAGGGGAAGCGAAGCAAAGGAAGGGTCAAGGCAGGGGGGTTATGGGAGGGGAGGGGCCAAGGTGAGTTAAGGATCAAGGGGTGGAGAAGGTGGAAGGAAAGAAAGAAAAGGGAGGGACCGAGGGAAGCAAAGGTCAAGAGAAGGGGGGTTGCGGGAAGGAACAGGGAGGGAAGACCTGGGAAGGGCAGCATCCAAGGAAAGAAAGGGTCAGGCAGCCCAGTGCTGGGGGGAAGGGGCGAGGGAGGATGGGCGGGGCAGTTTCCAGAGAAGGAAGGGCGGGGAAGGGACGCTGGCTGGAAGGAGTGGTTAAGGGAGGGGTCGTGGGGCAGGACGGAGGGTGAAGGGAAGCGAAGGGAAAGGAAACGCGGGCATGGGAGTGACCAGGGAAGGGTCTGGTCAGAGGAAGGGGCGGGTCATTGGAAAGGTTGGCTCAAGGGACGGGTCAAGAAGTTCCAGTGAAGAGTAAGGAAGGGAACGTTGGAGGGAAGAGAGGGAAGGGAAGGGTCGGGAAGCGAAGGAAACTTTGCCCTGTGCCCGAGTCGTGGGCTGGGCCTCAGCAGAGCTTTCCGTGTGTTGCAGACACCCTGTGAGGCACGTCTCCTTCAACAGACACAGCCTCATCACAGCCAACGTGCCCTACGAGAGGGTGGTGCGCAGCGCCGACCTGGACAGCTTCGCCACACACAGGAGGTCAGTTGGGCCTGGATCTGTAGGGACTCAGGAGAGGCCATCTTAGTTTGGTTTTATCAGTAGACTCCTACAGTGCGCCTTCCTCCCCCGAGATGTGCCCTCAGACCGGCCGTATCCCTGGAGCACAGGTAGAGGTGCAGCAAAGTGCTCCCCACTGCCACTCGCTGATGATAGGGTCTGTGCTCATCTCCGTTTCACAGAGAGAGGCAGGCCGTGCATCCTGAGCGCCCAGGGCCTCTCCCGCTGGCCTGGCTTCTGATGTCCTCTTGGTGAGGCCTTGACCCTTCCCGCCGCCTCGCACTGATTTCCCTCTCTCAGGCTGTGGGCTCACCTCTAGGCCTGGGCTTCTGAGTGTTCGGTACGAGCAGGCCCACAGCAGTGTGGCCGTCCTCAGGATTTGCTGGGGGCTGGTTGCGGGAGGCCTGTAGACTTCGTACCGTCTCCACGTGTAACACCTAGGAAGGCGGACGTGCCGGAGGTAGCTGTACTGGATTGTTCGGGGAAGTACACCGTAAGTGCCCCCGGTTCAGTAGTCACGGCCCCCACGGCCTGACTACACAGTAGGTATTTTCAGTGCCGAGAGGGTTCCCTCTTACTGTGGAGCCTCAGATGTGGAGGCGCAGATGTATTTGTTAACGTGAGCCGCTGTCCTGGCGCGCGTGCATGCGCACTGTGCAGACAGCCGTGGGCGGGGGGCCAGGACACACTGACGCCCTCTCTCTGCTTTCTCTAGACATCGGGGGCTCATCCATGCCTACGAGTTTGCAGTGGACCAGCTGGCTTTTCAGAGCGTTCTCCCCATCTGCCGCTCATCCTGTGACTCCATGGCGGGCTGTAGCTATGACCTGGCGCTGGCTTTTCCCTACGACAGTATTTAGGAAGTAGCCTCGGGGGAGCAGGGGAAATGGGAAGAACGAATGTCGAGAAATTTAAAACTACAGAGGAACTCTGTGCCGGCTTCATGTCAGGGGGGAAAAAAGCAATCCCCCGTTCTCTCGTGCAACGCCACATTCCTGAGCTGCCTCCCTCTTCTGTCGCTCACTTCCCTCTCGTTGCCTCATGGCTTGTTCATCTTCCTCCGTCCTCTCTCTCCCGAGGGCTTTGAGCACCTCAAACTGATCAAACAAATCAATACCTCACACACACACCCCCCAGCTGCTCTCTGCCCCGCCAGTGGCCATCTTTCCAGTCTCCACACCCTTTTCTGGGGCCTTTAGACAGCCTGGGCCTCAAGCTTCCACGTCCACCCGACCCCTGGATCTGGGTATTCCCAGCAGGTGGTCCTCCCGGACACCCCCTCCCTGCTGCAAGGCTCATACGGCGTACAGGACGCTTCCCCTTGTGGCTTTTACCACAGTTTATAAGTATATATTTATACAATTCTTTCATTAATAACTATTTTGCTTACAATTATGTCTACGACATGTGCTACAAAAATTATTTTCTATATTCGTTGGATAATCATCCATCCTCCAAGTGGGGTGGCAGCCGACTCTGCAGGGAACATGGGGGGGGGCGGGGGGGGGGAGCCACAGGAGCATAGCCAGAAACCAGAGCCCCACAGCCCACGCTCATAGTGGGTAAAAAAATTTAGACTCATCGGATTTACTTCCTATCTGACAGACATCTGTGAATTTTGTACCTTTTCAAATATCTGTAGACGATGCGCAGAATGACCACAAAGATTGAGGCCATGCAGGCCAGACCCAGCGATTCTCGATGCAGCAGTTAGAAATCAGCGAAATAAAAAGACATTTGGAAATCCCAGGCACTCCCGAATTGTTGATAAGGAGGGCGCTCAACGGGAAGCATGGCAGAGCACGCGGAGTGGGGGCGGCTCCAGCGGGAGGAGCGTCACATGACCGCGCGAAGCCAACAAATAGTAAGGCGAGTCAGAAAGCCAAGAGCAGTTTTTCTAAGACAGAATACTCCACTCTTGATTTTAAAAAAAGGCCCCAGAGGGTCAGGAAAGGCACGCAGTAAGCGCTGTGGGTGTGGGGCCCCAGAGGGGAGCTGCAAAACGGGGGAGTGCCCCCGCTCAGCTCTGGGACTCCAGTGGGGGAGGTTTCCAGATGGCTTGGAGTTGGGCCTTACCAACCTCTTCTGCTGGCTGGTGGGAGGAGGGGGCCCTGCGCTCTCAGGCCGCCTACCTGGGGAGGCAGCTCCCCAGCAGGGCTTGCTGCTGCCTCGCAACCAAAGCCTTCACCAAGAAGCCAGTCCGCACTCAGCCAGCGAAGTGTTACTTACTCTCCTTGGCCAGTGGTGGGTTGACACCCGCCCCCCCGCCCCTTTAGAAGGTTCCACTAGTCTTTGTTTCTCTATATTTTATACCATTCGTTTCTGTACAGTTTGCTTTCTCTTCTCAGGTGTAGCCCCCGTAAAATGCCCACTACCAAGTTCTACTAGTCTTAACGCAACCGGACCACTGGGTCAAATGTATTTTTTTCTTTTAGGCAGCAACCCCTCCCAGTCTGATTTCACGGCTCACTTTGCAAGTACAGGCTCCCGCTCCTAGCTTTGCCGCAATTAAAAGAACATTGTAAAGAAATTAGACCCAGAAGATTTCACTAAACTTAAAAATGATTTTAGTCTATTACTCACTGCCAGCAGCTGGTCCAGCTATGCGCCCAGGGTCCGCTGCTTTTCCATTCTGCTCGCAACATGCCTCCGTTCGTGAGCACGGCCTGGTCTGTGAGCGGGAGCTGGCTGCCTCCAGGCAGGCCGGCTGTAACGTTGCATCCTAGAAATTGCCCTGCCAGGGAAAGGATAATAGTTCCTTTATAAAGCAACATTTACACGACGACTGAATTTAAAAGTGCCCACCCCACTCTGTTCATCCCTGGTTGGCTGTTTTCAGGGCGCTTTTTCGCAAGTACTGGGGTTCTAGGGAAGCTCTCATCTGCTCTTCTGTAGCCCTGCTACTCCTCTGACCCTCCCTGTGTCCCCCTTACAGACGGGAAAGACTCAGATCTGTTGCTGGCCAGCCCCCAGAGCGCCTGTGTCTTATCTTAAAACTGACTTTTGCTTTCTAATAAATTTTTCAAATACATTTACCGCTCAAATGACTCGTCCCACCACGGCAAGGTGCTGGGAATCTCACCTTCCCTGCTGGCCCTGCTCGCCCTCTGCAGTTTTGTTTTCCCCAGAACCACCACTACAGGGCTGCTTAGCCCGGGAAAGAAACTCAGAAGAGCACACTGGGGAGAGCCGGGCTCCTTCTAGCAGGTGTCTGCAGCCCGAGAAGCGCGTCTTGCCACTAGATGGCGCTGCCGTCACCCGGGCGTTGTCCTGTTTCTAAGCCACTCAGGGCATGACACCACCTCCCCAGCCAGGCCTCCGTCCCGCTCCCTGCGTGGGGTTTCTGCTGATTACAGGGAGAACTGAATTTCCCTGAGTAGGGTTCTGGGAAAACTGACTACCCCAAAAATAAAGTCCCCTACCCCACACTTCCTTGAGAACCAGGAGCCCCACATTTTAGAGGCTGGCTCCTCGCTGGCCGCGTTAAAGGATACACACCAGCCGGTGCAAACCCTGCTTGAAATTGTGGGAAGTGACTTCCCCTGGCGGGGGCACAGCCTTCCACTTAGACCTTCAGTTGGCCTGTGCTGTGGGCAGGCCCGTGACCATGGGCTTAGACTGGGCTGTTTCCCTCCCCGACCCAGGCCTTTGCTCTGAACAGCAGCTGTGGCTGCAGTGAACGGATGGTGCTGGCCAGCCAGGGCCGCGGTGCGGGAGCCACGCAGACCCGCTGTTCACCCGCGCGGCCAGGCCAGATGGTTACCTGGCTCCTGCTGCAGGGCCTGCGGCGACTTGGACCGGGTGTGATGGCACATCCCCTCTCGCTGGGCTCTGGCAGGTGCCATGTGGGCGCAGGCTGGATTTCAGCCTCTGATGCGGAGCGTACGCCTCTTAACAGCAGGCTTTTGATGGCTTTGCACCAGGGACCTTTTTTTTCCCTAGAAAGGGAGAGAAAAACGCCCCCCTGCCAGCCCCCCCCCCCCGCCCCCAGCCTAGCATGTCTTTTCCTTCCCTTGTCCTGAGTTAGGACTGACTCGGCCTTGTCGTTTCTCTGAGACAGTGACAAAAACTGCTGCTCAGCACCTCCCTAGACCTTCCTGCTGCCCACCAGCCACCGGCTTAAAGGCTCAGGCAACCAGAGGATAAGACGTGTGAGCAGCCGTCCTGTGCGCTTGCCAGTCTCCAGTCCTGGGGCCAAGATCTTGCCACCCAAGCCCTGCGGGCGCTGTTCAGACTCAGGAAGCGCCTGGAGACAAAGGCTGCGCTGCTGCCCTGGGAAGTGGTGGCTGAAGCACTGGCTCCTCCCACTCAGCTCTCCAGGCTGTCCCAAGGTCACTGTGTGGGAGGACAGCTTGCAAAGCAGGTGTTTGCAAAGCCCTTGCCAAGGCAACTTGTCTTTTTAACTCTGCATCAGCCTCCCAAGTCTGTGCCACGGGCAGTGCCCGGGTTTAGCTGCAGCCTTGTTAAGTGCAGGCAGGTGGGGACAGGTCCGACTGCTCAGTGACAAGGATCAGGTCCATACCTGACCTCTCTCCCATTAGCAAAGCACAAAAAGGACTCTGTGCTTGGACCAGAAAATAATGGAATTGTCTTTGATAGAGTCTAGCAATAATTCTGTCCCTAAGAGGGTGCTCGGTCAACCTTGGAAGCTGCTGTGATCTTACTCTGTCCCCTTATCCATAATTCATGTTTAACGTGGCTGCAGGGCATTTCCCCAGAGCTTCTCAAGTTAGATTTCCATGACGTAGCCCTTTGTAAACCTACCAAATGGATGTATCCTTTTCACATCCAAAGGCTGAGTTCTGCAGACTTTCCCCCGTCGTCTGGCAATAGAGGACTGAGTCCCACTGTTAATGGGCCCACTGGCAAGCGGACGAAGAATGCCGAGAGAGGCCTGACCTCCCCCGCCACCCCGCGGGCCCGAAGCACCCTCTCGGCCTCCTCCATCGCCACAGCCGTTTCAGGGCGCGGACTACCCGCTTCCTCCAGATATTTGACTTCACCTCGACGTCTGCTCACCTTTTGGTCACAGGCGTGATTCCTGATGGAAGGCAGGCTGTTGACAAACACTTGTTTGATTTGTCACTTGCCTGTTTCAAAGCAAACACTTTGCCCGCTTCGGTGGCCTCACAGGGGCGGGAGGGTTTGGCTGCACTGGCTCAGGGTCTGGGCAACCAGAAGATCCCTCCTGGGCACGGCGGCGGCAGCGTTCTCTGAGCCACCTCCGGTTCCTCGCCCTGCAGAGCCGCAGCCCCCACTCAACTGGGGGGGAACTGACCTGCCCGTTTGTAGGAGCAGGTCTGCACCAACTAATAGCTCACCCCAGTCACTCCCCGAATGACCAAGTGAGAAAACCACCACTCTGTACCTAGCCCCGGGGCCGCGGGTGCCAGGTGAAGGCCACAGCCCTGCTCTGCGGCAGGAGCGGACACCCTCAGGGACTGGGCAGCAGCCTGAAGGAGTTGCACTTCAGTGGCTGTTTCAGGGGAGCTCTGGCTCAAGGCTTCAAGCCACGAGGCAGGGGCGGCCCGGGGGCCCCATGTGCACCCTCCGTGGCCACAGCTTCCACGCTGAAGCTCGGCACACGGGGCAGAGGGACGATCCCTCAAAAGCTTGGCACTGGTGAACTGCCTTTGTTGACACGAACAAAGCAGAGGCAAATTGGGAGAGTCCCAGAAAATCTGGGTCTCCAGTGGCAGTGCCAGTCACGGGCTGCGCCATCTCGTCCCCAGGCGGGGGCGGGGGTGGAGGGTGTACCCCCCGCCAGGCTGCAGGGTGTCGCTGGACACTGCGCCCAGGGCGCCACTCATCCCAGACCTCCCCGCCGGCCGGGCCAGCGACTTTCCAGGTTCCGCCTGACGGCAGCCAGGAAGCCCGGCGTGAGCAAGACGATCCGCACAGCTGCCGAGGCGGGGGAGGCGGGGGAGCAGAGAGAGGTCGCGTCCCATTTCCCCAGGAAACCGCGGCGGCGGCTTCGTTTTCGGAACTAGTCTCTCCCAGGGGCGCGGGCACGGGGTAGGACGCAGCGCCGCTGCCGTCACCCTCACCTGCCACTTCCAACATCAAAACGTCTTTTCAGTTCAGGGCGGGCCCGCCAAGCGGCTGCGACACCTCAGCCTGCCTCCCCGCCGCCCGAGACGAGACGAGACGGGGCCTTCCGCCTGTCAGCGCGGAGGCCGGCGTGGCCTGCGGGGACCTGTGCTCAGGGTTCAGGCCCACAGCCCCGGTGCCCGGGCGCGGAGGCCCCGGCCCGCCCTGCCCTGCGCTGACGCACGGACGCCGACACCAGCCTCTCCTCTCCCGGGTCGCGCGTGCTCGCCAAACTCCACTGCCACCCCCTGGTGCCACCCTTGGGCCCCTGCCATCCACACTGTCCACGCGGCGCCTCCACACCTGCCTTTAACCCCTGATCTGCTGCGTGGTGCTTAAATGCAGCGGCTCTGACCTCACCCTAAGCAACATCCACGACGCGCCCCTGTGCCGCGAGCAGGGACGCGCCTGCTAAGACGCGATCTTCCACGAGCACCTGAGTCATCCTGGGGCTCTTGCTTGGGGACAGGAGCAGAGACCCCTGGGCCGAACACTCGAGCAGCACAGTGCTGGGGCTTGGAGGGGCGTTTCTGCCTCCTGTGCCCCCGGATACAGGCTGTGCTGAATGCCCACAGGCAGGCGTCCAGGCCGGGTCGCCAGGCCAGAGAGGAGGCCCCCTCAGCCAGCCCAGAACAGGCTCGGCGGGGCCGCCTCCGGGTTCCGTGTCAGGCTAGGATCACGCGTCACCGGCTGCGAGGACAGTGCCAGGTGCAGGCTGCACCCAAAGACATGCCTGAACCTCTCCAATGGAGCCCCCGGAGGGGGAGGCTGCGCAGAGCAAATGCTCCTGGAGTCCGGTCCTCTGAGTACTTTCCACCCGCAGCTCCACAAAGACGACCTTGAAGCCTGCGCTTTCGCCGTTTATGAAAAGCGGGGTGTGGGGGGACAGCGCGCCTGTGTGCTTGCTCCATGCGCGTGGCACGGCTCTGCGGAGATCTCAGATGGCTGCGTTGGTGCCTCTGGGGAAGGAAACTGGGGTGCGGGGTCAGGGAGAAGGGAAGTGTTGGGGATGTGCCCCCCACCCCCCAGTTTCCAGTCCTGAGCCCAGCGACGAAGAATGAGGAACTGGGAAAGCAGCTGCCAGTGAGCAGAACGTCCTCGAAGGCTAGAGGCGCTCAGGATCCTCCATCAAAGGAACTGAGCACTTGGGACACGTGGCCGCGGGTGGCCTGAGCCCCAGCAGCGACCAGTGACCCCAGTGACCCCCCAGTGACCCCAGTGACAGCGGCGTCCAGCACCTTCGCCACCAAGCCCGGGGCGAGTCACGGGGTCCTGGGGCCCCAGACAGGCGGGCTCAGCAATCTCCACCAGGGCCACAGCCACCAACCGAGGCGACCGCCTGTTTCCTTGTCCCCACCACAGCCTGTCCCCCAGGCAGGTGACGACGGGCAGTTTGGGAGCAGCTTACCTGGGCTGTGCCCTCCCCGCAGGGCCAGTCTCCTTCCCCGCGCTGCTGGGAGGGGCTGGGGCACAGCAGCGCCAGGCGAGCTGCGGCCACACCGTGCCAGGCGCAGGGCCCGCGGGTCCCCTCGCGGCCGCCGTCTGTCCAGCGAGCACTCGGGACAGCCCTGGCCCCGGGAGCACGGGGCTGCCTGGCCGGCCTTCCTGCCTAGGACTGAGAGGAACTCCCGGCACTTCTGCAGGGAAAACAGCAGACACTTCAGCTGGAACCAACCAACAAGAAGGGCGGGGAGGGGGCTCCCCTCCTTGCAAACCTCTGGCCATCCGGGGGTCGCTGCTCGCTGCTCCCCCTCGGCCTGGTGCCGCCCCACGGCCAGGACACCCGCGTGCACGTTAGGAACAGACAGGAGCCGGGTGCGTTAACAAACCCCTTTCTCGTTTTATTAGAGATAAAAACAGCAAGTGCCACATTCCGTACCCCACAGGGAAACCAGGCCGCGGGGGCGTGTGGACTATTTACAGGAGGTGCAGCGGGGGGCGCGGGGGGCCGGGGCCAGGCGCCCCCTCTCCCCGGCGGCGGCGGGTCAGTGGCAGAGGGCGATGGTTTCCATGTTGAGGAAGCGCACGTGCATCTTGGTCTCGATGTCGATGCCCTGCCAGATCTGGGACAGACGGGGGTGCTGGTCAGGGAGCCTCCGGGCACCCCGGCCAGCTCCCCCCGAGGCTGGCGGCAGGTGAGGAGCAGAGGGCCCGCGTTTGGAGGCTGCGCGCTCAGCCGGGAAGAAGCGCTTCCATCTGCCTCCTCGCCGGCTAATTTGGCTCTGACATTTGGAGTCTCTGGAGACTGCCACAGCAGCGCCTCCTCCAAGTCATTTGACTCCCACCCACTTCAGGCTCAGTGATTTTCATGCAAATTCTTTAACCCCATGAAACCTCCTTTTCACCCTTAAAATGTGACATGGGAGGCCTCCACCTGTGCTGCCCGCTGCCGGGGGGAGGGGCCTCAAATGCCAGGATCCAGCAAGGCTCTCTCAACTGCTACCCGAGCGCTGAGTCCGTCAAGCCACTGCTGTCCCTCAGGCGGCCACAGGAGCTTGGTCTCTGTGGCCTCCTTGGGATAAGAGGCCACCCGTGTTTACAGCCCAGCTCGAGCCCAAGAAAGGTCATTTCTATCCAGAAATCGAGTCCATGCCACACACCAGGAGCCGGCGCAGCTGTCAGACCCTCCCGGCCAGGCGACCTCACACTACAAAGGCCCTCGCGCGCCTGCCCCATGGCCACTCAGGGCCCAAGAAGGCCCGGACGGAGAGACACCGAGGGCGCGCACAGGAATGGGGGGCGCAGTAGGCGACTAGTCCCTGTCTCCCTGCTTAGGTAAGAACTTCCAGCTCCCAAGCTGCCACCTGCAGCCTCTCGGGGCTGGAAGTGGGGGAAAGTCGGACTCCCCCGGTGCCCAGGGGTAACCTTGGTGCCCTGGGCCCTGCACCTGCATGGGTGCCGTGGGGATGCAGGGAAAACAGATCTGGTTCCAGGAGAGACATTCCCAGGCAAAGACACCTGCTAAATGCCAGGTGGCAGCAGAGGGCAGGTGGCAGGTAGGGCTTGGGGAAGGGGAGGGGCGCTGGTCAGGAGAGCACCCCCGCGGATGCACGGACAGGCTGGGGACCAGCCTTCCAGGGGAAGCTGGTTCTCGAGCAAAAAAGAAATCCATCCTATCCTGCCCAGGCTGGGCACAGAGGGCTGTCATGGAGGGATGAAGGTGTCCACCTCCAGCCTGGCAGTCCCTCCAGTCTCTCCATCATGGCCACCTTGTGCCACCAACGTGCCCCCCGCCCCGTTTCTGCTCCCCAATTTGCTCATGACTAGAGAGGCTGGTGGTAGGGACTTGGAGTGGGCGCCCAGTCCAGTTGCCTCTCTAGGCTGCGACAGTCTGGGGTCAGGTGGGTCAGAGGCTGGACTGGGGACCCCTGAGTCCTGACCCCCAACTTCTTAGGTAGCCAGAACTACTGGGGTGCTCAGGGCCTGGCTGGGGTCAGCTCCCTGCCACGGGTTTTTGAGCGGCAGAGGCGGGCCCAGTTCCTAACCCGCTGCAAGCTGGTCACGGGAAGGGAGGCCCAGAGGCCCGGGAGGGCGGCCCTTTAGAAGCGGGTCGACAGGGCTCGTAAGGGAAGAGCAGGGGCAGGAGCGCACCAGCCGGCCCCAGTGTGGTGCTCGTGTGGGCAGAGGGCATTTCCAGAACCCCGGCGTGTCTGGGAGGGGGGCCAGGGGCACATGCAGGACAAGCGGGGTTTGCTGGGTCTGCCCTGTTGTATGGAAGGCACAAAACGCTTCCCACCGTGAATATCGCCCCTTCAACAAACGAAGTAAAGCCAGTTTAAACTGTTTCAAAGGCCAAGCCCAGATCTGACCCCACTTCAAGGAGATGCTGGTCTCCTGATGGGGGCGGAGGTCCCCCTCCAGCCTCAACTCAGCCCAGGCACCCACCTTCAGGAAGTCTTCGAAGGTGATCCCCTCGTACACCTGGTCAGGCTCCTGGGGACAGAGCACAGGGCAGGGTGAGCGGCTTCGCCAGGACACTTGCCTCCCCATGCCCCCCAGACCCCCCACACAGAGGGCAGGGCTGATCAGGGGGAACCATGGCAGAGGGGGAGCATTCTGGATTGTTGGCCTCCGGCTCCTGGCCAGCCACCCTGAATGCCAACGTCCACTTGCTTGAGGGTGTGGGCTCAGCTGGCCCCACCTGCGCCCCCAGAGAGGAGGCAGAAGATGAAGGGGGATGGGCCACCCCCTCCCCACATGGCCACTTCTCCCCGGGTCCCAACCTGCTCCTGCCAGCACCCGCTAGGATCCCCTTCAGCTCCCAGTGTGCCACCCTGAGGCCTTCTGGCTGGGGCCGCTCACCCGCCGGTGGCCAAGGTGCCAGCCACCAGCCTGCTCTGGCACACAGGACCTCCTGACGCAGTCCGGGGACCTTTTGCTGCTACTCTCAGGCTCCAAACCCCACCCCTTCCCGCAGCACACTCTCTGACAGTGACATCCTGGCAGGCCGGCCGCGTAAGTCCTGGCCGCCCGTGAGTTCCATTAGCACGTGGCCACTAAGAAGGGGTCCATGTCCCCGTGACGGTTAGGAAAAGGCCCTGAGGCACAGACAGCAGGGTGCAGAGGGGGACGAAGGCCACACACACCGCGGTGGCCCCTGGACTGACGCCCCCACCTCCCCTGCAGGTGGACGGGGTCAGCGCCCAAGGAGGAAAAGCAGGGAAAATGCAAACCAGAGGACAGGCGCCACGGGGCGGGTGCATGCCGGTCCCTCTCCAGGAAGGGGGAACCCCCAGGGGTGACGCCTGTTAGGGGATTGAGGATGACGGCAGGCAGTGCCTCAGTTTCCCTTTTGTGCATCTCTGAAATTGGTGCGTCGAAGAAGACAGCAAGTGCGTGCCGTGTGCCAGGGCCTCTCCGATGCCTCACAAATGTCAGCATTGAACAGCGGCTGTGCCAGCCTCACGCCAGTCCCCGCCGCTTCTGTTCTCACTCCCACGTCCCACACGAGGCCGCTGAGGGGCGCCAGGGCCGGGCTGCTGGTCCGGCTGGCTACGTGGAGCTGGCTGGTGCTCCCAGGCCACCCTCTCTGCTTTCTTCTTTATATATATACACATACATACATCTCTACACATGCATACATCTCTACACATACATATCTTCTTTATACACACACACACAGACACACACAGACACACACATATTTTTTAAAACAAGTCATCTATTTTCTGATTTTATGAAAACCTACCAGTTCTCAGCTGCCTGGGCCAGCCCTGGTCCCTGGGGTGCCCTGCTCTCTACTCTCCCTCTCCCTGGGGGCTCCCCCAGCTTCCTGGGGCTGTTGGGGAGAGCCATGTGGGCAAGACCCCATGGGGTGAGGCCCAAGCTGCAGGGCGGGCACCCGGTGGGGGCACAGGGGCTAGAGACCCAGACCCGAGCAAAGGAGCCGCTGCTCGAGCTAGAGGCCTGTCCCGGGAGGGCACTCAGAGGCAGCCTCGCCCCGTCAGCAGGCACGGGGTGAGTCCATTAGAGGGGGATGGACGGCTGACCCTGGCCCGGGGCACAGGCAGGGCATTGTGTCCTCTGAGGCCACGGGCACTGGACCGACACGGCCGCCCTCGGCCCCGTGTGCGGCTCGCCGGTGTTTATCGGGTCCGCGTGGAGCCAGGCAGTCACCCCGCGAGCTCGGAGGCCGCCCCTGCACTGCAGGACGCCAGGGACAGCGTAGCCCAAGGCCGAGCCGCTGCCGCCGCCGCCTCGGTGGCACTGACTTTATGCAGAGCGGCAGCTGCCAGCTGCCAGCAATTCTACAGCAGCAAATTAAGAAAACTGTCGCCAGTTGAAGCTGGAGTGGGCCGAGGAGCAATTTGAAGGAGGAGAGTGTAATTAAATCAAATGAGACTCGGGCTAAACACCCCGGCGGTGGGGATCCCCGCTCCCCAGTCGGTCACCGGCTCTCTGCGGCAGCTGATTTGCTGAGCGGGGTGGTTTCCCCACAGCCTCGCCCAGGCCTGAGCAGACATAAAATACCACCCAATAAAATGACTGCGGCCCCCTGGCCCTGAGGGCTGCCCCGCCCCCGCCCCGTGACAGGCTTGGGGCACCCACGGCAGTTCTGGCAGGGAAACACTGCACTGTAGGGAACCCCAATCCCAAGGGGCCTGGAGCCTCAGTCATTCTAAACCAGGGGAGGCCCTCCTGGCCGGCAGGCTCTCCGGGGCAGGGACTCCGGACCCATCTCCTGGTGAGGCAGAGAACAGTGAGGTCTGAGCTCGTGCCCGGCTGGTAAGGGCAGCAAACAGGGCTCAATGTCATGTCTACGCTCTTGGACCTTCCAGAGCAAGGCGTGCAGCGGGGGTTAGCATCCAAAGGCGGCTTCTGGGCCTCCCTGGTGGCGCAAGGGGTTAAGATGCAACCTATGAAGTTATCCGCAGCCTCTGCAGCATGAGTTCGATCCCCTGCCAGCCAGGGAGCTACCCGCATGGCGCAGCAGACCTCCCCTGACTTGCCTCTTGCTCCCCTCAGCAGTGTATTTCAGCCAGTCTGCCTGTTCTGTGCCCCACTCTGTCTCTGGTGAATCCTCTCAACCCGCCCCCCCCACCTCTGGCCTGTACCCCAGCTCTCAAATGCATAAATAAATCTTTAAAAAAAGCAGTTTCTGGGGACCCGTCCCCCAGCAGTGCTCACCATCTGCCCCACGCACACGCTGGCGGCCTCCATCATGGCCCCGTCGGCGATGGAGCGGGCAGACTCCTTCTCGATGTGGGGGTTCCCCGAGAGCAGCTCCTCCACTACCTGCAGGAGAGGCAGCACCCGTCACCTGGGGCTCCCTCCAGGCCCGGGATGAGGGGGGCAGGAGCCCCGGCAGGCAGAGGAGCATACTTTACATTTCGATATTCTTCCAGGGTGATGCGGCCGTCGCTGTCCGAATCATACATGTGGAACAGAACTGGGGGTGGCAGAGGGGAGAGGGCCGTCAGGCAGGCAGGGAGGGGAGCCCTGGCCCGGGCCCCCCAATCTTCCCTGCCTACCTCAAACCGGGCAAAGAAAACCCCAACAGTGAAAGCCAAACGCCAAAGCCACAGGGGCCAAGAACAAAGGCCTTGAGGCCAGACGACCACGTTCTGCTGGCGGCTGCCAGGCGGCCGCACTTCCCGCAGCCGTGGTCTCCCTGTCTGTCAAGTGGGAACCACCACAGCGTCTCAGGGCGGGCAGGCTGGGCCCAGCTGCCTGGACGCTGAGCTCCCTCCCTGACACGAAGCCAAGCCACTGCTGTTTCAGGACAACGCAAGAGGGCGGCCGCCACCATGGCCCCCGCAGGCCCCTCCCGCCAGGCACCAGGGGCTTGGCCGGCTATTTCCCTCCCGGCGACGCCCACGTTGCTCCGGGCCCACATCACCCGCAGCCCAGCAGAAGCCGGGGGCCCAAGGGGTGACCTCTGGCACCGGCTCCGCCTCCAGCTCCCCTTAGCCCCTGTGGGAGCCTTTGTCCAGCACCGACAGGACTTGGCAGACCTGCTTTCCTCCCGCCCTCCCACGGCCCCGCGAGGCCAGGGTCGCCCGAGCCCACTCACGGGCCAGCCTGTCACAGCTCAATGCGGAAGCAGAAGTGTCTGCCCACTGCACCCCGGCAGGGATGGGGAAGCCGGGGGTTCCACTAGAGTCAGTCCACCCCACAGCCTCCATGACCCCTGACCTGGGGTGGGGGGAGGGGAGGGGGGTGTGACCCCAAGCACGCCTGGCCCTCGGGGCATCGGAGGGCCTGGGACGCTCAGCCCGGCTGGTGGAGAGGGCGTCAGGAGACAGATGTGACACCAGGCACCCTGGGGCCCGGCGCCACCTGCCAGCCCACGACCTCCAAGCGTGCTAGGAGCCCAGGGCCCCTCCTATGACCCCAGTGGCTCATGCTTGGGGAACAGCGGAGACGAGCTTTCGGGGCACCCCTGCGCCCAGGCCCGGCCGGGGCCATCTCACGGGGCCTGAAGCAGCCAGCCCCTCTGTCCGGCTCGAGGCCCCACGGCCGCTCAGCGGGAACCTGTCCGAACTAAGGGCCTCGCTCTTTCCACACTGCCCCAAACCCTCCCTTCCCTGGGGACCCCCGGGGGGCTCACGAGGAGACCACCACGCTGCAACCCAGGTGGCAAGAGACGCACCAACAAGGCCCTTCCCCGGTGCTGTCAATGGGGACCAGGCCCCCAAGGCCGAGGGCTGGTGGGCCTGCCCCTCCCTCCTCTGCAGCAGGACCTGGGGGACAGCGGGCGGGGGAGGGGCGGGGACACGCACATCTCAGCTTCTCCTTCCGGCACAGCTCCACCTGCTCCTCGTCCATGGAGGTGTCGATGGGCCGGAAGTAGGACATGATGGTCAGGAAGTCTTCGAAGTTGATCTCGTCAGCCAGGCCGCTGGGCCCCCTGCGCAGGTTCCTACGGGGGCGACCGGGGGTGGGGGTGGGAAGGAATCAACGACTGGATCTTGTCCTTTTGTGACCACCTGCCCCCTTGGCCTGGCTCGAGCACCAGCCTCTGCACTGCCCTTCCAGGGCTCACCGAGGGGTGGGATGGATTTGGGGGTCTGGGGGGGAGGCGACTGCACAGCTGTTGGTGAGGGAAGCTCAGGGGTCAGCAAACTGTGGCCTGAGGGCCAAATCCTGGAAAATGGGGGTGGGGTGGGATACAAGAGAATAATAGCATTTCATGAGAAGTAGAAATTGCACCGTTCCCCAGTGGGGACCAGTGAGGCGACACAGCCTGCAGGGCGCCCCAAGCTAACACAGGCTCCTGACCCTCCGCCGCCAGGCCCCCTGACTTCACCGGGCCGGCGTGAGGGCAGCTGGGGAGCTGTGTCCCCCGCCTCTGGCTCCAGCCCCCACTGCCGGCTGAGGGTCGGGGCTGTTCACTCACGCCGGGCCCACACTGGACCTTGGTTGGAAGGACTAAGTTTGCAGTTTCTCTTTAGGGCCCCGTCTGCGCCCTCTGAAATACCAACTGCCCCTGCGGTGTGCCCGCACATGAGAGGTCACCAAGGTTCCGGTTCCCAACTTGCCGTTCCAGGGGAGTCTCCAGGAAGGGAGGAGCCTGGACCAGGCAAGGTGGACTGTGAGGCTGTGGCTTCCTCAGACTCAGAAGACCCTACCCTTTGAGGGGATCTTCCAACCTCCCCTTAAAGGCCTCCTGGCTTACAGAGCTCACACTGCTCCCCCCAACACATTTTTAATAATCTCCAAGTTCCTGCTGCCAGGGGCACAGACCAAATTTGCAGACATAAAAATAGCGCCCGCACTTATCAGGCTTCTCTGGGGCTACTTGCACTGCAGCTGGGTCACGCGTCCTACCCCAGTGGTTTTGGCTGCAGCGGAGGGATTAAGATTAGCCCTGGGGAAACTGCGATAGGGCCTCTGGGAAAGCAGAGCATGTGTCCCTCTCAGGGAAGGCCAAGACCCACCCAGCCTGCTTCGATGTCAGGACCCACCTGGGGGGAGAGGGAGCCCTTCCCCTCCTCATACCACGGTGGTCTCTAAAGAGTCCAGTTGCCAAGGAAACCAGGACAGCACCTGGAGCCAGCCGCACCTGCTCTCCACCCCCATTTCCAAAGTGGGGCCCCACGGCCAGGCTCATGCCAGCACGAAAGCAAGGCAGCTGTCACTCTTTTTGCAAAAATGCCCACTTGGTGCACATTTTGGCTTCCTTGACTTTCTGATGATGCTGTGAGGAAGGGAGCCCTTGCAGATGGGCACGGACCCCCATCCAACTGCCCACCCAGACTAGCTTCTGGGCGCACCGTCCTGCTCTTGCAGGGTCCTGGGAAGCAAGGCTGACGCTGCTATTTCTTGAAAAGAAAGTCCCTCTCCAGCCCCCCCTCCGAAGAACTCTTGCCACCTCCTGAGAGCTTCCAGGAAGAGGTACAAAGGAGTTTTAGGACCTTCGCTGCAGACTCCCAAGTTGTTCTGGGTCCAGGCCAGGCCCCTTCCTTAACCCTCCCTGCTCCATGACCTCCTTTGCTCCCTGGTCGGCTGCTGAGGTTGTGGCCCCCAGGGCTCCCAGGGGTGTTCCCACCACCTGCACCGGGCCACTGCCCTTCACCTCCAGCTCATCATCTCACACCATTACCTGGGACCCAACTGTGCCCCCTAAAGCAGGCACATCATGAGGTGCCCTTCCCACCAGACCCTGGGGCCCCTCAGCTTGCTCCCCATGACCCCATCTCCCTTCACCTGTCTCTCTGGGGTCTCCGCTGCTCTCCTGGCTCCTCCACAGCCTGGCCCAGGCTCCAGCAGCCCCCGCAGGACCCTCCGACCCTGCACTCCATGCTGCCACGCGCCCCATGCCTGCTGCCTTCATAGGCTCCCCCGGCTCTGGGGTAACCCCCAGCGTTTGGTCTCAGCCACCCCGCTGGGTCTCACCACCCCTTCTGGCCACACTCCCCTGCCTGGGGTCCTCGCAGGCTGTTTCAACGTCCCCCTCTGTCACACTCTGCCCAGGTCACAACCCCGCAAGCCCCGGAGGAGGCCTCTGCACCTTCCAGGGGCTGCCCAAGGACCGCCTATCCCACACCTCACCCCACTCAGGGAGGCTCAACATCTTACTTGGGGTCTCCCAAGTCCTGGCAGAACCAGAGCTGAGCAGTTCAGGCTCACACAAGTCAAAACCCAACAGGAAACTCCCCACCAGTCCCGTGACTGTGAGGTGCCCACCTGCCTCCCTTCCTTCCTCTTCCTGCTGTTCTCCCTCTGTCTCAGCCACCTCCGCAGGCGCAGGCGCAGGGTGTTGAGCTGGGCCCACTGGGGCAAGGGGACCATCCGCCCCGCTGTGTTGGTCCACACGCCCCAGCAGCCCGGGGAGCCCACCCACCCTGCCACAGCCTCAGGGGCGCGTCTCCACCCAGTCAACCCCAGCCACGCTGGGCAGCCAGGAGCATGAGCCTGGTCTGAGCCTCCACTCTGGGATGCTGCCCACGGCACCCCTCTCTGTGCCTCAGTTTCCCCATCTGTAAGCCGGGGCTATGACCAGATAATAGTTAACCTGTGCCCTAACATGCGCCATCTCGGCGCAACCTACAGCAAATGTGGAGGCAGATGCTGCTGTGACCCCCACTTTATATACATGAGCAAACAGAGGACCCCCACACAGCCCCAAAGACCCCTGATCCCTGGTCTTCCTGCCCCATGCAGTCCCCTCTCCAAGTGCGGGGGAGACTTAGGGGCTCGCTGCCAACACAGCAGATGTGAGGGAGAGCCCCTCGCGAGGTCATATCACCAAAAGAGGTGCCCTGTACCGCAGGTGCCCAGCCGCCCCTCTCTCTCTCTTCTGGAAGTCTCGCCTTAGGGGCCGCTGACTGCCAGGTACGGGGCCCTGTGGCCCGAGCTGGCCACCCACAGCCAGGGAGCCCTGACCTGCCTGCAGGTGAGTGAGCTCAGAGAGTGCCCCCAGCGAGCCTTTAGATGACACCGTGCCACGACTCTGGGCCCGAGAACCCAGTTAGTCTGCACCCCGGGCCTGGTCCACAGCAACATGACCACATAAACTATTTAAAAATCGCTAAATCTTGGGGGCAGCCTGTTACACAGCTGGAGCTAACCAGGGCAGAGGCCTGGAGAGACTGGGTGAGCTTCCCACTGCCTCCCAGCTCTGGATCCAGAACTGTCTGGTCCCCACCTGCACCCCCAATGCCTCCCCGGCACCACCCTGTTGTAAGGGGGTGCCCTGAGAACACGAGTTCCATGAGACGTCCCGGGGCCAAGTGCTCCCCAGACCCAGGCCGCCGCCGTAGAGCCAGTGCAGGGAGAGGCCCACCTGTTGTCAAAGAAGGCCCGGATGATCTTGGAGCGGATGGGGTTGAGCTCCAGGTCAGGGATGTTGTTGAAATTCTCCTTGCTGGGTCCCCAGGAGCAGGAGCACCGGGAAGAGACGAGAACAGAAAGTGTCAGGTAGTGTCGCCTCACATACCAAGTGGCATTTTTCACCCCAGGGCCCATGACAAGAGCCTGGAATGTTCTGTGTGATCTGCCTCTGGATCAGCAGGAGGATCTGGAGGCTTGACGGGTCTTTGTGACTGACAGACCGAGCTGGACATTCACCCGCAGCCACAAGCAGCCACGTGGGCTCCGCGCCCACCCCCAGGGGTCAGCGCTGCTCTGGAATCGGAGCAGGAGATATGGACACTGGCGCTACAGGAAACAGCCTGGCGATCCCGCGGCAGGTGAAAGGTGGAGCTGCCAGGTGACCCGGCGACTGCACGCCCAGGCATGTCCCCAGGGGGCGTGGAGCGAGGTTCCCCAGGAGACTCCCTCAGTAGGGGCTCACAGCACCGCTTCCAACAGCCCAGCACCAGCCAATGACTGGACAGAACCTGCCACATCCTTGCAACGGAACAGTATTCCTCCGTTGAAGGAAATGAAATAGGGGTACGCTCCAAAACAGAGGCGGTGAGACCCCACACTAGGCAGAGACGCCAGAAGGGAGAGGCCACTGGGCGCGCTGCGTCTCCACGCGGGTGGATGAGGTTAACCCGAGAGACACAGTTGTTAGGGGCCGCCGGGGGAGGGGAGCCAGGGGGACGGACAGCCTAAGGGGTGGCAACTTTTGGGATGATGGAACTGTCCCCAAATTGCCCAGTGCCAAGCACGTATCTCCGTAGATACACTGAGAGCCTGGGGGTGGCGCACTGCGGAGGGCGGCTCGCGGGGAGGGGCCTTGCACGTCAGTAACGCGGTTTAAAAAACCACTGACGTTTATTGAACAAACTTTCTTTGCTCCAATGCATAGTCTTTGCTCCTTTGTCAAAGATTAGTTGACCATAAATCTGTGGGTTTATTTCTGGATTTTCTATTCGATTCCATTGGTCTGTATGTCTGTTCTTGTTCCAATACCATGCAGTTTTGATGATTATGGCTTTGTAGTATAGTTTGAAGTCTGGGAGTGTGATGCCTCCATTTCCTTCTTTTTTTTTCAGTAGAGCTTTGGCTATTCGGGGTTTTTGGTGATTCCATATGAATTTCATCAATAATTGTTCTATTTCTTTGAAGAATGCCATTGAGATTTTGATTGGAATAGCATTGAATCTGTATATTGCTTTTGGTAGGATGGCCATTTTAATAATGTTTATTCTTCCAATCCATGAGCAGGGGATGTCTTTCCATTTCTTTGTGTCTTCTTCTATTTCTTTTAACAGTGTTTTATAGTTTTCTTTGTATAGGTCCTTTACCTCTTTTGTTAGATTTATTCCCAAATATTTGATTTTTTTTGTTTCGATAATAAAAGGGGTGGTTTTTTTGATTTCTTCTTCTTCAGATTTATTGTTTGTGTATAGGAAGGCTACTGACTTTTGCGTGTTGATTTTGTATCCTGCCACTTTACTGAATTGATTGATGAGTTGAATTAGTTTTTCTGTGGAGATTTTGGGGTTCTCTATGTATATTATCATATCATCTGCAAATAGTGATAGTTTGACTTCTTCTTTTCCAATTTGGATTCCTTGGATGTCTTTCTCTTGTCTTATTGCTCTGGCTAGGACTTCCAGTATTATATTGAAAAGCAGTGGTGAGAGTGGACATCCTTGTCTTGTTCCAGATCTTAATGGAATTGCTTTCAGCTTTTCACCATTGAGAATGATACTGGCTGTTGGCTTGTCATAGATGGCCTTTATGATGTTGAGGTATGTTCCTTGTATCCCAAGAATTTCAAGGGCTTTTATCATGAATGGGTGTTGCACTTTGTCGAAAGCTTTCTCAGCATCTATTGATATTATCATATGGTTTTTATATTTCTTTTTGTTGATGTGTTGGATAACGTTGATTGATTTTCGGATGTTAAACCATCCTTGTGCCCCTGGAATGAATCCAACTTGGTCGTGGTGAATTATCTTATGGATACATTGTTGGATTCTGATAGCTAAAATTTTATTGAGGATTTTTGCATCAGTGTTCATTAGGGAGATTGGCCTATAGTTTTCCTTTTTTGTGTTGTCCTTATTCGGTTTTGGTATTAGTGTAATATTGGCTTCATAGAACGTGTTTGGTATTGTCCCTTCCTTCTCAATTTTTTGGAAGAGTTTGTGAAGGATAGGCACTAATTCGTCTCTGAATGTTTGGTAGAATTCATTTGTAAATCCATCAGGTCCTGGGCTTTTGTTTTTGGGGAGGTTTTTAATTACCATTTCAATTTCGCTGCTTGTAATTGGTCTGTTTAGGTGTTCTATTTCTTCTTTATCTAGCTTTGGGTGATTGTAGAGTTGTAGGAATTTGTCCATCTCCTCTAGATTGTTGAACTTGTTTCCATATAACTGTTCATAGTAGTTACTGATTATTCTTTTGATTTCTGCTGTGTCCGTTGTGATTTCTCCTCTTTCATTTATGATTCTGTGTATTTGTGCTTTCTCCCTTTTTTCCTTTGTGAGCCTGGCTAGGGGTTTGTCTATTTTATTTATTTTTTCAAAGAACCAGCTCTTGGTTTCATTGATCTTTTGGATTGTTTTTTTAGTTTCAATTTCATTTATTTCTGCTTTGGTTTTTATTATTTCTTTTCTTCTACTGGTTCTGGGGTTTTTTTGTTGTTCTTTTTCTAGATCTTTGAGCTTCGAGATTAGGTTGTTTCTTTGAGTTCTTTCTTGTTTTTTGATGTGAGCTTCTATTGCTATATATTTTCCTCTTATGGTGCTGGGAAAACTGGGTCGCTACATGCAAAAGAATGAAGCTTGACCACTACCTCACACCATACACAAAAATCAACTCAAAATGGATTAAAGAACTAGACATAAGACCTGAAACCATAAAATACATAGAAGGAAATATAGGCGAAACACTACGGGATTTGCACATCAAAGACATCTTTACAGACACATCACCCAAAGCAGTGATAGTGAAGAGAAAGATAAACAGCTGGGACTACATCAAATTAAAGAGCTTCTGCACAGCAAAAGAGACAATAACAAAAACAAAGAGAAACCCCACCAACTGGGAGAACATTTTTGCACCCAACACTAATGATAAAGGACTGATCACAAAAATCTGCAAAGAGCTGATGAGACTCAGCAACAACAAAGAAAATAATCCAGTCAAAAAATGGGCAGAAGAGCTAAAAAGAAACTTCTCTGAAGAGGAAATGAAAATGGCCAACAGACATATGAAAAAATGTTCAACATCACTTGTAATCAGGGAAATGCAAATCAAAACTACCATGAGATACCATCTCACACCAGTGAGAATGGCACATATTAAAAAAACTAGCAACAACAAATGTTGGCGAGGATGTGGAGAAAAAGGAACTCTTGTGCACTGTTGGTGGGAGTGCAAAGTGGTCCAACCACTATGGAGAGCTGTGTGGAGATTTCTGGACCTACTAAACATAGAGCTTCCATATGATCCAGCAATTCCACTCCTAGGTATTTACCCAAAGGACACAGAAACATCAATTCCAAAGAGCACCTGCACTCCTATGTTTATAGCAGCACTGTTTACAATAGCTAAGCTTTGGAAACAACCCAAATGCCCAAAAATAGATGACTGGATCAAGAAGATGTGGTACATATATACCATGGAATATTACTCAGCATTCAAAAAAGATAAACACATGCAATTTGCAGCAACATGGATGGCACTGGAAGGGATCATGCTCAGCGAAATAAGCCAAAAAGAAAAAGAAAAATACCGGATGGTCTCACTCATAGCAGGAATCTAGAAAACTTAAATAAGGGACCAGGAAAATGAATATAAGAAAGTGAAAATCAAAATCAACAAAAAAACTATGAACCAGAGACACTTTTTGGGGGGTGGGGGGCGGGAGGGGAAGGATTGGGGTCAGAATGGGGCGTTTGCAATTGTATGGGGGAATATAAAAATAAAATTTAATATTTAAAAAAAAAAAAATAAATAAAAAAAATAAAAAACCACTGACGCGGGCAGGGGAGGGGCGGGTCTTGAACACGGACGCGCTGGCGCTGGGCAGGGTGGCGGCGCTGGCACAGAGCCAGGGAGACCCTCGCCCGAGCCTCCCACACAAGGTGGTCCTTTGTTCTCGGGACCTGCTTCCTACTCACCTTCTCTGACAGGCTGCGGCCAGGGGCACCGGGTGGTCATCCCGGGTAAACAAGGAGGCACACCCAGAACCACACTCGGTCACTCAGAACCAGCCCGCGGGTGGGGGGGGGGATGCTCATGGGACCCGGGCTGCGGACCAGAGCCGAGGGCCACACGCGCTGGGAACTGACGTCTGTTTGAATTGGGAGGATCCAGGCGTGTATGGTCGGCCCCAGCCCTGCCCCTACCACCTTAGGTCGGGGACGCTGAGGCCCGGAGGGCAACCCCCTGCTCAGCTCAGCTCGTGGGGGCCTCTGAGCGGACTCCGGGCCGGTCACGGCGGGTGTGAAGATTGAGATCCCAGAGCTGCCCCCAGGGAGGCCGCGAACTCCAGAGCGTGGGCCGGGGTGACGGGAAGGATTTGGCCATAAAAGGGAACGCAGGCCTGCCGGTGCCGGGTGCAGATGCGCCTCGGAGACAGGCCGCTGAGGGCGAGCGGCCGGATGGGCCGGAGGGCATGGCTGCAGCTGCAGGCGAGCTCGTCCAGAGCAGCAGGTCCAGGGAGCCGGGAGCCTGGAGGGGGCGGAGGACTCGGGAGCGACTGCACGCTGGACACCCGGGCGCGACAGGAGAATCCTACCTCGGGGCATTTCAGATTCCCCCAGATCTTAAAGCCAGGGACGACCACACCGGGACCTCGCTGACGTGAACAACAGTGACCCGCGCGGCGAGAAGCCGGGGTGGCGGGGGACAGCCCTGGGGGTCGTGACGAGGAGGGGGCTCTTGCTCTGGGCGTGGGGCCGTGGGAGTGATCCCCTCACTGTGACAGCACGGTCCCCCCCTTTTCCTGAGCTGCGGCCA